GCCAGCCCATGCCCCGCTTTGGGCCCCACTGGTGCTGGCCCTGGGACATTGGTCCCAAGACAATGGGACATTGGTCCCAAGATGGTGACCAGGGGGCAGGGCACCTGTCAAGGGGCGGGGCTACCCATGCGGCCCTCGACAGCCTGCCAAAACTGGGTAAGTGGTCCTCTGCCCAAAATAATTGCCCGCACCTGTGCTAGAACCTATGACTGTATCCTATCTGGCTGCCATTCCCCTTATCTTTCTGGGTGCAAGAGCAGTCAGACTGTCCAAGCTCTTCTTCCCTCCTGGCTTTTGTTGCTTGTCCCTGCAGTAGGCGGTGGGGCACTGCACAATGATGTGGCCTGGGGACCTAAGGATAACCCTGAGCCCATGGCCTAGGTGCAAATTGCTTATGCAAAACAAACAAATCCTACGGCTTTTCTGGGAAGTGATTTTCCTAACCAGGGTATTATCAACATAAAGTAGATTTTGCTTCTGGAATTTAATTAGTAATATTAAGCTATCTCAGGCTTTTATTTTTTGCTTGTTTCAAGTGTGCAGCCATTGCTGCAGTTTAGTTTTCCAACCTCACCATTTTAATTGTTTGTACGTGCATAGAAAACTTCCACACTTTGTAATAAAAAATGTTAGTCTCTCGGCACAGAGCAACAGCATTTTTCCAACAAAGGGACTAAAGTAGTAATCCAGAAGCCTTGCCTACAACTCAAAGAAGCTCCCCCACACATTCTTAAAAATCTTTCCCTTCATTTCAGAATCTAGACTTATTTAAACCAGATACCACTATATCATGTGTCTATAGGGAGCTGCTTTTTCCCCCCAAAATTGGAGTGCTTGTGCAGGGTCTTTTGATTAATTAATTTTAAACGACTGTAAAGTAGATTGTTTTCTTTATATATAGGTTCTGGTCATAAGGTCCTTTAGGATACTTTTTTTCTGTTTTATCACAGCTAGTTTCCATCAGTTAAGGCTTTTTGCTGGTTTTCATTTGTGGACTTTTGGGAGCCTCATTCATGATAGACTGTTTGCTGCTTCTCAGCAATGTGGGGCAGGTTAACATATGGGATAGCTGAGAAAGGGAAAATTTCTTGACTTGTAAGTTCAATTTCCCATAGTATTTTTCATTGATGTACATTGCTTTCCCTGGCAGAATCACAGAATAATAGAAAAGTTGGGCTAAGATCTCCAGGAGGTCATCTAATCCAAAGTTCTGCTCAGGGAAGGATCCTCCATATCTAAACTATTCCTTCTTAAAAATTTCCGGGGTGTAAACTCCACAACCTGTCTAGCTAACCTACTTCAAAGGTGGGAAGATTTTATTTAATTAGAAATTCAAATTCAGATGTAAAAAGTAATAGCAGCAGTAGTTGATTTACAGCTTTTGCTAAAGTGATATAATAGAATTAACAGTAAAATTATGTAATAAAATTACCATGATTTGTGATTATTGGTAAAAGTATACAATGAAATTACACATTCTGTTAATTTTAACAAAAGTCCAATTGAATATAACACATGATAGATACAAAAATAGAAATAAATAAAATTAAGCAATATAAAATAGTAGAATACAACATTAAAGGTAGGAAAATCTTTTTGACTTTGGCCTCTTTTTGATTCACAGTCCCCCAGCATCCCAGGATGCTTTGCACCTCCCTGCAACCCCCCTTGCAGGGTGTGTGGGCTAGCCTTGGCCCAAGCTGTCTGCTCCAGCTGAGCAGGGAGGCATGTTCTAGCACCCCCAGCTTCTGGCCTGGGCCACTGCAGGCATTTGGCTGCATTTCCAGTATCAAAAGTGAATGTCTGGTCACTTATCAATTCAGTCTATGCAGTGTAGACTAACCTGTGAAGATTGAATTGATTCAGCCTCAGGCTTTTTTTGACTATCTGTACTTAGCCCTAAAGTGTCTGATATCCCTAGCCTGGATTGACAGTCCACAGGTCACAAGTTTGAGACAATGGCAGAAGTGCTTCCTGGCACAGCCCTTTTGGATTCCAACAGATTTGAGAATTCTGCTAAATACCTTGTCTCAAGGACACAAAAAGGGAAAGGATGTTGGTATGCGTGACTTAGTTTGGGAGGCTGGAGTCAGTTAATCAAATCTGTGTCTGTAACCAAAATGTTAAGAATTTTCTAGCCAAATCTGAATGAACTTAACTAATATGTATGCCAGTAAAAGAGACAGAGAATCCTTTTTGAGAGTACCATAAAACATTGGTCATAAATTGCACGTACTTAGTGTCATACAGGATGTGTGAGGTTGTTTTTTTTAATTATTAGTACTAATATGGGCTTCTTTTAGGAAATTTCTTAAAATAATGTCTAAAGCTCATCATTGGGTGTGAAGAGGTCTCAGTCCAGTAGACTGCTTATCATTCCTAGTAACATTTGAAGTGTAGAGAAGCCAGCAGGAAAACCCAGCTTCCAGTCTCCTGCATTCAGCCATCCGGCCCTGTCTCTTGAGATCTGAAGTTCAGCGCCTCTGCTGCCTTTTCCTAGTGCTTAGCATTCTCCACTGCACTCCTGTAGCTGTCCTCATGAGCTTTGTAGCTGGGATCTGATAGCTTCTTTCTAGTGCTGCTTTCTCTATTTGCTGTCCAGGTGCCCTGAGTCCAGCTATAAAGCACTTGTTTTGTCACAGGATAGCTGCACCACAGTTTGCTTAAAAGGCAGATTTCGAATGCAAGTTTATTTCCATTGTCAGACTTAGTATGTACTCACATGGCTATAATCTCTGAACTGCAGAGCTCAAAATTAAGTAGCATTGATGCTAAAATCCACTTGATGGGGGATTACATTTACATAACACAGACAATTTAGGAAAAGCTCAAACCTTAAACTTCACAGGAAAACTGCATTTGATTCTTTATCATCAAAAGTCTTATAAAAAACTTTTGCCCATTTGATGTCCAGGATGCAAAGGGACTTTGGGATGTGGCAGGACATTGTTGGTTTAGAGGACTCTTGCTGTTTATTCCTTTACTTTTTATATTGGTGCAGGTTTATATAATTTGTAACCTTTATTTAGAAAGGCAGGCAACATTTTGTTAATGATTTTGGGGGGATTGTGTGGCTTTTGGTTTGCTTCTTTTTGTTTTGGGTTTTTTTTCCAGGGTCAAAGTGTGGTTATTCTTTGGTTCGGGTTTTTTTGTTTGCTTGTTTGGGGTTTTTTTAAAGGAAAAAGCTATAAGAATCTCAGGTCCATGAATTTCCATCATTGAGGTTTGGCAGATCCCAGAATAGGAAAGGGTGCAGGTAGCTCAGCCAGTTGTGCAGTTTCAGTGTGAAGCAGTTCATACTCCCCTTAAAGCTTTTTGCATGGTTGCAATGACTGTGACAGAATAAGCACACACCTTAGGAAGCTTGCTGCCAAAGGCAGTTCAACACACACATCTGCATCCATGGTCTCCCCTTGAAGCAGTGCTTTGAAATAGAGAATATGGACGCCTCCACCTCTGGATCACTCACCAATTCTTCTCCTATCTTCGGAAAGGCACTAAGCTTTTAGGGAATTTTATTGGTTTTTTCAGGTTTATGTTCCTTCATAGTGTAGTTTTTTTACACTAGTTTGAAAGTTTTGCTTTTGCTTTCATTTGATATCTGGGCATATTTGTATGAAAACTGAAGTTTAAAACTCCTTGTGTACTAACAAAGTAATGGCTAAATTACAAGGGCACCTCTCCTTAGAAGGCCTGAAAGAACACTTTTGACTTGGTCTTCAATCTGTTAAGTGACTTCTGCAAGACTCATTGTGAAAGCTGATTGCTTGAACCTTTCCTTAAGTAAGACCTTGTATAGTTCCAGAAATGAGAAACAGGCTTTTATTTGGGAGTGATCTCCTAGGAGCATAACATCAGAAATATCTTTTGGGGTTTTGTTCAAAAAAGAAAACCTCAGATACGTCAAGTGCAGGCTTTGATTATTCAAACTGGAAGCAAAAGGGCACAGCCAAAGTCTGTCAGGGGGTTTTCAGCCTTTTACTAATGACAGGCCACCTCTTGCAATCGAACCAGTGCCATGGCATTCGCTGCTGCACCTCAGTTGTACTAGCTCTGTACAGAGGGGTTTTCCTACCCAACAATGCAGCCTCTTTTAAAAGATATGGGAAGGGACAATTTGAGTGGCTAATTTGCTGAGCAGCAACTGCAGCATGGTGGGACAGAGCAGCCCTTTGCACAGGACCAGAATTGCAAGGAGCTTTCTGCAGGAGCTGGCAGTAAGGAATTAGGCAGCAAGGAATTAGCCAGCTGTTAGTAAAATGCAGAACACAGAAGCCAGGCTGGAGCTTGCACCTGGGGATCAGTGTGCCATTAGTAAAACATGGACTGGATCATGGGCTGGATCCAATCTTTTCCTCAATCAAATCTGGCCTGCAGCCAGGCCATAGGTTGCTGACCCCTGCTCTACATATTTTGAATGCTGATCAGGACACTACATCACTCTTCAGAGGCTCAGGCTTTAAAAATGAACGCAAGGAAAGACCACATTTGTTGCACTGGGAAATTAGAAAAGAGTATGATGTATTCTTTGCATCAGTAGTTTGTATTTTTATTAGGCAAACTTGTTTTTGTTGTGTATTCAGGTTTTTTGTTATTCTTTTTTTTAAGCCACAGAAATAGGTAAAGCTGCTCAGCTTTCAAGCAAATAGCTTGCTGAATTAAGAAGCAAGGGAAGTGGTTTTATGAATTGAAGTGTTCTTATTTTTTTACCCTGTTTTAGTTCTGATTTTACAACACCGACATTTACAAAGGTGAGAGCGCAGACAAATTATAGCACTGTTCATTACAGCTGAGATTTTAAGTTTCAAAAAGTAGTCCAACTCATATGAAATTGGCTCAAATACAAAAGACTATAATTGAGGGGAAAAGTCTTCCATTCTGGTATCAATGAAAAATTTCCAGTGATCACATGGAATGGGTCCATTTGAAAATATGTAAAATAAAATGTTCTATTTATAGTTATCCACAATGTATCAACATTGTTTTCCTTCTTTTAACAGTGTCAAATGCCTCCAGAAGACTGTAAAAGATTCTTACCATATTATTTGTAGACCATGTGCTAGTAAATTAGATGTTTGTGCTAAGTGTGGAAAAGGAGAAGAAATTGTAATCCCGTAAGTAGATATCTGAAAGCTTGATTACTTGCCTCCATAAAGTGTGTATCATGTGTTTTCTTTTTTAAAAACAAGTGGAAATATGGCATAAAGTAACATAAGGCTATGTGGTCAAAAATACAGCAGGAATCTGGCAGTTTCCATTTGTTTTCAAGCCATAAATTATTCTGATGGAATTTCAATAAGAGACAATGGCCTCAGTTCTTCCCTACGTAAACTAGTGGTGAAACTCTCGTTATCTTTCATGGGATGAAGATCAGACTCAATAAGCTTTGTTCAAGTAAAACACATTCATTATCATAATATTAAAAGGTGAACAGCACCTCCTTCTGTAGACCATGATACTGTAAAATGGATTAAATTATTGAGTGCCTGAAAATATGCTGAAACTAATTGACTGTTTTGAATTTAGTCTGTCATCCGATGATTCAGAGTTAAGAGAGAACAGAAAACAGAAATCAGACAAGGGTGGCTATTGAGTACAGCAACCATAATGCTGTTGAGGATTTTTATTACTCTTGTGCCAGCAGTTTCTCTTTACTGAGCATCCTGTATTAATTTGCTGTGCTTGGCTTATGGCCAGCAGAAGTCTGATTGGTTGAACTATTCATAGATTTTTTTTTTCAGGGACTTGGCTTCTTTCTCTCCATTATTTTACTCCTTTTTTCCATTCAGCATAGAAGTAGCATGGTTTATATTTTTAAAAGAAGCCTCTCTTTCCCCCTCCCATTTTAATAATTAATTTCTAAAAGATTAGTCAATAATACTGTCATGTCTGTTTTTAGGATTAACAAAGGATCAGAACAAACTGAGAATGCAGCAGATGAGAATGACCAAAGGCAGAGGAGCAGAAAAGATCAATTGGAGGAAGGTGCTGATGAACCAGATTTTGACATTTTCTTAGATGACGTGGAGGATGATGATGATGATCCTGATGTGTTCAAGGAAAAATTTAAACATACGAAAATTGAAAGGAGTCTGAAAAGCTGAAGTTCAAAAGGCTATAAAGAGACTGTACAATCAAAGGAAAAAGTTTTCTGTTTTGTATTTCCGCTCTGAAAATGAAGCCTGACATTTGAGGACTCAAAACACTGCTGATATATATAATGTCTGCTCTTTGTATCTGAAGTGTCTCTTGTTTAATAAAATGTCTTGTGTAAAGAGCATCATTTTGCCATATAATAAGTAGATTTTGATTTTTTTATATACAATGTATCTGCTTCTAGAGAGAATTGATAAGATCATTTTTAAAGCGTAGAAATAGAATATCTTTAATTGGAATTGTCTCAAATTCAGTACGATGTGAACAACTGACAGCATCACCTAGTAATGCACCTTTCCTTCCTTTTTCATGTCCTTTTAAGGGTGCCCCACAATATTAGCAGTTAGGTGTACAAACACCTACATATCAACCCACAGATTTCAAATAGGAATTTATTGTGTCAAACACATTCTGACCTGTTGGGGTTTTTCTGAGTTTTTTGAAACAAAAAAATTGGT